CTCCTGTGAGGGAGGCATCTGCCTGACCACTCAGGGCCTCACCTGCCAGATCTGCTCACCCTGAGAACTCACTTGCCAGATTTCTCAGGGAGGACCCAGTCTCAGACCTTCCCAGGGGCCAGCAAGTGATAAGCACTCAGCATGTGGCCCTGCTGATGAGCTTCCCTCACCTGCCAGTGCTGTGGGCCTGATAGCAATAAGGGAAGCTAGTAGACAGAAACAAGAAACATTTACATAGACATAAGTGCCAGAAGGGCCAGTGGTGAAAGGGTTGATTCCCACCTTGATCAAGGGGAACAGTAGCTCTTGTGGGAAGGGCAATCTAACCAGGATCAGGAGTTTCTCCTCTCTGCCTCTGTGTACCTTCACAGCTGGTCCTCCCCCTAGGGCAGGGTTTGTGGGAACCACAGGGAGCTCTTCCTTGGCCAGCATCAAAGGTTGCTTTGGGAGGCCAAGTAAACATTGTAAGAGGCCCATTCTGCACCACAAAAGGTGACAAACTTCCCTTGGTGAATCCATCATTCTATTGTGAGCAGTGGATCACACATCCTTCCAGTATGCTAGGTGAAAGTCCAGGGAGGAAGAGGGAGACTGTCCAATGGCATCCATCTTAGTCAAGTCAACAATGAGAACAATGAACACATTACACTCAAGACCAAGGGCACACACAAAACTTTACCCCAAGAGACAACCAACAAAGTTCCAAGAACAATGACAGCCTGATGTGCTCTGGAGGGAGCGACCCTCCAGGCTCAGCCACACCAAAAATCTTCCAGACTCGAGGCTCTCTGTCCTCAGTTAAACAGACCTTGGGACTACCACAGCCCCATTAACAGGGTCCAGAATTTCTTCTGAAATCCTGTGATCCTGGTTCCAGTGTGTCTACTGGCTGCCACTGGTATTGACCATTGCTGGACCATTTCACAGATCTACTGTGCCTCAGAAAATGAACGTACAGAGTCACACAAAGACAAGGACAAGCAAAGACACAGAAACTTACCAGCCAGTTAGGAAAACCTCAGTTCAGAGTCTAGGGGTAGCAGAGGATCCAGGACGAGCCCCTAAATGTTGTGACCGCATCGCAAGACCCCTGAGCAAGACCACCACAGAGCCAATATTCTATGCAAGCACATAGGGGGTTTATTAACAACAAAGCAAGCCTGGACTTGGTCTGTGTCCAACACTCAACACAGCAGGTAGAGGAGTGCTGTGGGATGGTCTGTATGTCAAATTGCTCTGATTGGTCAATAAATAAAACACTGATTGGCCAGCGGCCAGACAGGAAGTATAGGCGGGACTAACAGAGAG